AGAAAAGATAGCATTATCTTTTTAGACTAAACCAAAGAGAGTGAGTCATAAAGGCATGGATACAACAGAACACCAGAGAATTTCTGAAGAAATTTTAGGTGTGTGAGCTCCACCCACTGCCACCGCCTCCCCTCATGCTACCATCACTGAGCTGTTGGTCAGACTTGCAGAACACAGCAGCACAAGGTTAGTCCATGTGTGATGAAGTAAGACCCAGTGGTAGCATGTTGAGATCTGGCTGAATCAGGACATAACACAGCACAATACATAAAAGTCCTAGAGCAGAGCAAGTGACAGAGAAAAACAAAGACTGAGCTAACAGAAAGAGAGAGACAGAGAGATGAAGTGACAATGTGTGTGTCTGTGTAACATGTTGGACTCGGACGTTAGCCTCTTTATAGGGGCTGCACAGGTGCAGTGGTTAGTACTGATGCCTCACAGCAAGAACGTTGTGGGTTCGAGCCCCATCTGACCCGTTGCCTTTCTGTGCGGAGTTTGCATGTTCTCCCTGTGCCTGTGGGGGTTCTCTCCAGGTGCTCCGGCTTCCTCCCACAGTTCAAAGACATGCATCTTAGGTTGACTGGTGACTTTAAATTTCCCCTTTGGATTGAGTGCAAGCGTGTGTGGTTGTTTGTCTACATGTCAGCCCTGTGACAGACCGGCAACCTGTCCAAGGTGGACCTTCGCCTCTCACCCACTGTCAGCTGGGATAGACTGTTCAGGAATAGGCGTTATAGATAATGGATGGATGGACTTTATATATATGGCCCCTTAATTTCATATGTAAATGAGGTGCTGGGTTTGTCAAAATAGGTGCTGGACACAATTTGAGATGTGCCGGATCCGGTTTGTTCAGGCACAGATTAACCCCTGGTTTTACTGTGGGTGCAAAGCATAAGTAGTATAGCCAGGGCCTGGCCAGTGTTTTAGAAATATTCTGAGTGAATTAACTACAAAATATCAGTTTAAAGATGTTTTTACAAATGTATCTATTAGTGACATTTTGTAGACAGTCCACGAGTTGCTTCAAAAAAAAAAAAAAAAAAAAAAAAACTGCCACTTGTTTGTTTCAATTTTCTCTAATGAAAGTCACAAAAACACCCAACTGTCAGTACAATGTACATGATGTGTTCAGGGCTAGCTACCTTTGGACTTATAACAGAAACTAGTTACAAGAGAATGTGGAAATCCTGAAGAACTGGTGGCTGCTCTGCTGCCATATGATCCCAACAGAAAAATTACATCATAAAACTTACTTTCATCCATTTGATCCCGTATATCACTATGAGCCAGTTGCCTGTGAGCTTATCTTGTCCTGCTCATGGGGAAATAAGATGGCAGTGAGATTTCTCAGTTGTCAGTTTGGAAACAAGGCTCCCTTGTGCAACTGGGAAAGACAAGGCTATAACTTAACCATCTTGTCAAAGAGGGCTGAGGATGATCAAAATAAGATAACAGAGATCAAAGCAATATTACCATGTTCCGTTCTTCAGCCATAATCTTGTTTTGTCTTGTGTTAAAAATCCAGCACACCCCTCTTCTTTACACACATTCACCCCTCCCTAAAAGCCCAATCTCACTCTCAGCCATGCTGTGGCATGTTTGGTTCAGCCAAAGATGCAACACAGCATGATGGTTTGCTTGCTAACAAAGCCTTTTAGCATCTTGTCACACAGTTGTGCAGTTTGATTACCACAGAAGAAGAACCAAAAGTGCAACAATGATTTTTTTTATGGTTAGGTTAGTACAGTAACCTACAGTGATGCTGAGCTGGAGCAAGCTAAAAAACAGCAGCCTTTGCTGCAGTAAACCTGTTTCTACGTGACATTTATACAATCTGAGTTAAAAAACAAAACAAAACAAAACAAGTCTACATACTGGCAAGTACAGAAAAAAAATTAATCAGCTTACACTTAATAACTGGCAATGCAGACCAGTGTCTACACTTCCCAGTTACTGGTGTACTAATCCAGTGGTAAAATGGTTTTTTAGTGACAGTTGGTGAGTTATTGTTTGAAGTCTAACCCTTTTTGAAAACACTAATTAAGATGACAGTTTCTTCCCCGTCTATGGCCGGTGGCTAATGAAAGGACTACTTCAAACAGCGAGCGAGTTTCTAATTAAATTTCTCTACAAATTAATGAGGCACAGTGTTTACGCCTGATTAGTGAACATTGAAGCAACCAGGACCACGGACCGATGATACTGCTGTTTAAATTCAAAGAGGCTCAGTGAGGCCCTTATTGTTCTACCTCTTCAAAGCGCCTAAATGATATGCAAATAGTAAAAGCTAATGTTTCTCTATGAACAAAACCTTGTTGAAGGACACTGTAATGTAGCCCAAATTGCTTGTCTGGCTTCTTTTCCTATATCTCTGATGGATGAAAACTATAACTGCCAGATGGTAATGCGGTTTTGTAATACTGCCCTGGAGGAACTTCAAATATTGAAGCACTCGGTATATTTGTCCTTGTGTGCTTTAAGGTTAAAACGACAAACGTGGGAAACTGGTGGGAAAGGCTGGTGGGAAATCGGAGCCTTATAGATGCAGAAGGTGTTAAATGCTAGCTTAAGGGTATGTGGATATTTGATTCTGTAGCAAATATATCTTAAAATTAAAATTATATTTGAATAAGATACAGTACAGTGTTATAACATGTGGTGTCTGTTCTTACAACACAATATCATTACACTGTAGCACCATTTAATACTTAGCATTTTTTCAAGGTGCAGTAAAAAGACGAACCACTCGTTTTGTTGTTTTATCTAAAGACACAAACACCCTGATGAGTAGTCTTTTCTGATGGAAACTCAACTGGAGCTGATGTGTTGAATGGACAGAACTGTCCTGTGCTAATCCTCTCATCAGGCAATGTTCTCATGGAGGTCTGCACAGAGTTCCTTGAACTTCATCTCTTGGTTTTCATCTTGACACATAGTGGAAATAGTTTGATCCTAAATACACAGCTGTGCAACTTTCTGTGTCCAGCCACTTGAGTTTGACACCAATCCAGCTGTAGACACATCAAGTATAATTAAAGCTGACAGGATGCACCTGAACCCAGTCCGGAGTGCCACAGCAAAGGCTTTGAAAACTTTTATTATATGAGATTTTAGTTTTAGAATAAAGTGCAATATAAATTACTTGAACAGAGGTTATGACCACCTCTTACCCAGTGTCAGCTGGAATTAGACAAAACTTTGTATCTAGTAACAGAGAAAAGCATATACAGTAGGCTATACCTTTATCTCCTCCCACGCTGGTTTTTGCAAAGCCTTGTGTATTTGTCTAAAGAGTTCAAAATTCAGGAGCCAGTGTTCCTCAGACATCACATAAATGTTAGTTTCACTTCACTGGCTGAAAATCTCTTGTAGAGTTCATTTAGCTTTGCATGGTCAAGGTGGAGTGTATAACTAAACCCCTGGGTTCCTTACTGAGGAAAACATTTTGTACTTCTTGCTTGAAAAGTGCTTCATATATAAACTATTACTGCAGATTCGAGCTACTGTAAGTTCACTGTGTGGCAACTGTTCTAATTATAATTGTGTAATAGGTAGTATTTTAGAAATAGTGGGTGGCTTATGGCCTTTAGATAGAATATAGGGCTGCCATGTGTAGTGTGTATTGTACCTAACTGGTGCATAAACACAGCAGGACACATACACACCGAACAGGGTGGGAAGATTCAGTGGAGTCTAAAGAGGCTCACATTTTGCCCTGGGGCCAGCAAGGGGTTTAATCCAGCCCTGACCAAAGTAACCACGATGAATCACAAGAAGGAAAGGCAGTCTAACCTTTGCAGGTTCTTGATAAACATTACCAAAACATGTTTTATTAGATTATACTTGCTATATTCTATAAAAAGGTGACACTTTTGTAGACATGCCATTGTATGCATAAGTATAGAAAAAGGTTCTGAGACTTTCAAGAATCATTTGTAAAATGTTTTTAGAGACCGTGTGCCACAGTTTGCCTCCATAAGAAGGCTTTCAGGCTGTATGCTGCGCTACAAATCCCACCCATAGGCTGCAAATATTCCTTCCTTCCATAGTGGTGTAATTATGCATAAAGCTGACTGTATGGCACGGAGAGATAAGAGAAGACAGACAATGACGTTAGAGGCATGCACTCAATGCTGCAGTTCATCACCATACCTCTCCACTACCTTCAGCCAATACCTAACCTGACACTCTTGGAATAGCTTTCTGTCCTTTCCTCCTAATCTCACAGCTTTCATTAGTGCAGTCAGGCCAACCCACTATTTGCTCTCAGTGATGGAGAAGGGTAGCAGGAGTATTTTATCTCCTCTTCCACTTTAGCCCAGGCCTGCCTCTACTCAAACGTTTCCTAGCTTGCTGGGGTTGTGACACTCAATCTCAGTCACCGCATGGCTAGCCAGTTGTTGCGACACGAACATGACCAGAGGAGGTGCCAGGCTGTTCAGGTGCGGGTCATGGCCGGAATGAGAACTACAGACGATCTGGACTTTGGCCCCACCACATCTCAGCACACTTTAATAAGGACTTGTTGTGGCCTCCAATATGACAAAACAAAGTCAACAGGGCGTCACATGTGGTGGTGTGTGGATTTCAGTAAATGTACTGCTTGAAGTATGGGATCAAGTATTAGTGGTGTATTAGCCTACACAAACCAAAACGTCCGCAGCAAAACTGAGAAATACAGCAGCCAATTTGTTAGTTTCCAAGCTTTAAGCAGTTTAACACGTCACTTTGAAGCGCAGTTATTCCATTTAAAGGGGAGATTATGCAGCAAATAAAATGAAATATTATACGAAGATCCCATAAGGTAACCCTGCGTGCAGCGTTCCATCCAGAATAAACTTATTAGACATAAAAGTGCGGATATCTACAAACTTTGGATTTTACGCACGAGTTTAGGGAGGAAACCTTTCTCTCGTTCCCGTTCCACAACAGCCCAGACGAACCGCGAACAAAGTTAAAATAATCTGCACATGAATTTATTGTTTCAGTCATCTTACCTTGTTCGTCTCTTCTGCAAGACCCCAGATGGGCCACACCGACGACGGCGCACAAAATCCACCACTTGTTTGGTAGAGCCATGCTGCTGAATAGTGGGCTGATCCGCGGTGAATGAAAGTTTAGAGGGAAACTTCATCAACTCCAAGGGCTGAAGTTGTGTGTGAGTGTGTGTGTGTGTGTGTGTTTGTGTGGGTGGGTGGGTGCGTCCTTCCGTTTGATAACACGGTACCAGTCTACAGACACTACGAAATTGAAATTGGCAGTTATTTCCTGGAGAGACATTTCAATGTAAGGCAATGACATCTCCGTGAGTCATAACGTTTAGTGAGGAATTAAATAACAGATCATTTTTGATACCATTTTAACCTACTGCCCGTCTTCACTGCTCATCATTTTGCAATATATAAGGAGTATGATGAATAAATGAAATAACAGTAGGTTTGTGGGCAATGTTTACAGATCTCTCAGTGGAAAACCTGATTCTGTTTAAGCACATACACACGCTCCTTCTTTCTTTGGCTGTTTCTACTGGGAGCTGATCAGTTATAACAAGCTGAGCCCAACTTGCATCTTTTCAGTCCCTCAACACTTTAATCCAAAGCAATTCATCTCACAGTGATGAGAAAATTTCATCTGAAGTGCATTACCCATACTCAGCTGTCTGTTTCATTCAGGAAATTCATATGTGAGTTATGGCCTTTGGAGAGGTTTTAAAGCCCATTTCAGGTCCTCCATGGCTCTGGTGGTGGTACGTGTGTCATTTAGCTTCAGTCTGCCACCCTCTTAGCACTCTACACTTTTATGACTTAAATGAATTCATTAGACTGTGATACAGTAACATACTATGTTAAACAGGGACGACTGCAGGATTTGATCCACAACTGGGGGTTGGCTGTTTATATAGAAGCCACAGTAAACTGGACTGCTTCATGTTGGATGCTCCACATGGCCACAAACAGTAAAACAGTTGTCACAATTTAAACCTTGGCATATAAATATCTTAATAGCAGAAATGTAAACGACTCATAAGGCTGAAAATTATGCTTATTTTTTATTTTATTTATTTATTTTTAACAGAGGCTAGTCTTTACCCCTAGTTTCCAATCAATGCACCTCTTTCCTTTTTGCTTCATATTTAGCATAAAGACATAACTCCTGAAATTAAAGCAAATCAGCACATCTCCTAAAATGTCAAACTACTCCTTTGAGCATACAGGAATATTTTTGACAATGTGTCCTTCCAAATTTTATAGTAACAGTTTAGGAATGTTTCATCATGACAGGTACACAGTGTACCAAGCCAGAGTCATAGAGAACTGGTTTTCACTATTTGATTGGAAGAAGTTGATTGGTCCATAGAACCCAGGCCTCAAGTGCACCTAGTGCTTATAAAGTGAGATAAACTGGAACTGCGGTAGCCAAGGATTATCTGCAGTGATACTCTTGTAGCTGAACAGGAGCATATCACATAATGATATGATGCTTGGGCGTCTACAAACAACCGTCATGTAGTTTATAAACTCACCTAGCGTATCACAATTCATAGGTTTACAACATCACAAGATTGTATTAATGTCTGGTGGAAAATGCACTTGTTTCCCAGCAGTAATTCACTGATAATCATATTAGCTAGTTAAAATTAGAGAGATATATGGAATTGACATTGTTCCAAAAGTGCTTACCACATCCTCAGATGGTGTCACACTTGCCAAGGCAAGCTTTCTTTCCAGACAAGCCTGTGACAGGGGGTCCTGGGTCAACTCCCTGGAACAGCTGGAAAAATCTTTGCAGGAAAGTTAATATTTTGTTTCCCCTCCCTGAAGGGACACAGAGATTCCATCAAGCCTGCCTCCTAAACCACAACTGCTCTCATGGAGCCTATAAACAGCCAGCAGCAGATAACAATGGTCATACTGGTCACGTCCCGAGAGTGACTGTGTGGAACTTTATGACTGTGGTGTAGAGAAGGAAAAAGGTAAAGATGCTCAGTCCGCCTTCCCTTGGTAATAAAGTTTTGGAAATAAGATACAAAAGTGCTTTATCCCTCTAAATGTCAATAAGATAATTGAGTGTGATACTCCCATGGAGCTGTTATTAACTTTGAATCAGTTAAATCACATCAACCCACCGCTAGTAAACTATGAATGTTTTATTTCACATGGACCAATAGGAACCTGAGTAGTGCTTATTTTAAAACCATGTCATCAGTAATCAAGGTTTCACATTCTGAGGTGGAGCCGGCTGTATTCACATAGGTTTAACACACATTGCACATTTGTGGTTCTGAACAGAAGCCGTCTCCTATGATTTAGCTTCATTCGCAGCTATACCTCAAATGCAATTTAAGTTTCAATTCATCTTAGTTTTAATGGCAGCATTTAGCCAATACCAGCCCCGACAAACCTGCTGCGTACTGACAGCCTGGCAACATTTCTCCATGTCCGCTGGATGTGTAAACAGGCACGTTTGCCAACACATTAGCCGTTAACAGGTAATGTAGTGGTGACAGTTTGTAGTGCTTCCCCCAAGTGGTCAAACTGTTAATTAGTGAGGATTAAACCTACATTAACCATAATGTCTAATATATTGTTCCTCTAAACTTAACCAGTTGGGTTTAGTAGCTTATCTTCAAGCACACTTCACAGGTGCTGATATTTAAGGAATAATAGTGTGTGTGTGTGTGTGTGTGTGTGTGTGTGTGTAACAGCCAGCATTATGTTTCCCTTAAAATGCATTTTGCTTTCTCAAATTAGCATTAAGAGATTGTAATCATTTTTTTTGCTAATTGCATTTTATTAATCTGCAATAAAGTGGGAGATTTCTAGCACCCTGGTTTTAAGATGTCTGACACATACAAATAGTAAGAATGAACTCAATGTATAGAAAATGTACAGTTAATGTTCTGTCTTGTTTAAAGAAAATGCCCACTTTCAAGACTCACTGAAAGAAAAACTAAGCAAACAAAAACACACCTGGGAGGTTGACTTTTCTCCCTTGACTGACAGATTTGCTTTTTGTTTTGGTAAAATTAGCTCTGAGCTGAAAAGGAGACAAACACTTGTAACATCAGTCCACAGTCTTGGCACTTTGTCAGTATGTGGCTGGTTGTACATTTGTGCACATGTGTGGGATGTCAGTGGACAAGAATGTGCCTGTCTCTGGGACTAATTGTGCAGCTCTATTACTCACTCTGCTCAGGGAAACTATGCCCCTGTGGTCTGCCACCTTCTGTGTGGAAAGCTGTTGAATGAGAGAAAGTCAGTCATACAGACAAATCTGCAGAAAAGCTCTTGGAATTTCTTGTGGCGTACTTTTCCCACAATATCGTGACCTCAGTACTTCTCACTCGAAACAATGTTTGGAGTAGATGACACCTAACTCTTTGCATTTTGATGACTTGTCTAGTCTCTGCTCTCAAGAATTGGCTGCACAGAAACACCAGAGGTGGCTACAGAGGAAAAGGTTTCAGAGGTGCTGAGAAAAAATAAAAATGATACAATATTCACATGTAGTGTTCAGTGGTAGAAACAGGGAATGTTTATAGGGAAACACATAATACAGCATCTTAAAAACATGAATATTTGATAGAAAATATATTTTACACCAACAAGCAATTTTTTTTCCCACATTTAATATTCAACAATTGTGCCTTGTGTGACAATAATGTTAATAGTACAATTTAGAAATATATATTTTAGCTAATGCAGGAGATGGTAACTACATCCTCAAACATATAGTACATGAGAAAGGTTATAGTGAAAATATCACACTACTGGTCCCAAGATGATCATGTTAGGACTGGGGATTAAAAAAAAACCACACATCATTGAACAGTCCAAGAAGGAATCATCACTCTGGGGTTGTACTGTTCACAGCTCATAGACCGTGGATCTGGCCACATATTTCTGTCCAAACCCAACCCGTGCCCTAGAGTGTGGCATCAGAACCCGACCCAGACCACACAAGCTTATAGTTAATAATGCCTGCACTTGACCAGAGCCTGACGCAGTTGAGTTTGTACGGTATTTTTCCATATTTAAATGCAGCAGCTATGAGTGTATTTAAACCCAACAGTCCAAACCCAATCCCAACCCCAAGTTACTGACAGGTCCCATCAGGGTCGGTTTCTAGAAATCTTTCAAAAGAAAATGTGAATTCATATACATTTCCATCCACACTTGGTGCTAATTTGCACACTGGTTGCCATTTAACTACAGTGCCTTGCGAAAGTATTCGGCCCCCTTGAACTTTGCAACCTTTTGCCACATTTCAGGCTTCAAACATAAAGATATAAAACTGTAATTTTTTGTGAAGAATCAACAACAAGTGGGACACAATCATGAAGTGGAACAAAATTTATTGGATATTTCAAACTTTTTTAACAAATAAAAAACTGAAAAATTGGGCGTGCAAAATTATTCAGCCCCCTTAAGTTAATACTTTGTAGCGCCACCTTTTGCTGCGATTACAGCTGTAAGGCGCTTGGGGTATGTCTCTATCAGTTTTGCACATCGAGAGACGGAAATTTTTGCCCATTCCTCCTTGCAAAACAGCTCGAGCTCAGTGAGGTTGGATAGAGAGCGTTTGTGAACAGCAGTTTTCAGTTCTTTCCACAGATTCTCGACTGGATTCAGGTCTGGACTTTGACTTGGCCATTCTAACACCTGGATATGTGTATTTGTGAACCATTCCATTGTAGATTTTGCTTTATGTTTTGGATCATTGTCTTGTTGGAAGACAAATCTCCGTCCCAGTATCAGGTCTTTTGCAGACTCCATCAGGTTTCCTTCCAGAATGGTCCTGTATTTGGCTCCATCCATCTTCCCATCAATTATAACCATCTTCCCTGTCCCTGCTGAAGAAAAGCAGGCCCAAACCACGATGCTGCCACCACCATGTTTGACAGTGGGGATGGTGTATTCAGGGTGATGAGCTGTGTTGCTTTTACGCCAAACATAACGTTTTGCATTGTTGCCAAAAAGTTCGATTTTGGTTTCATCTGACCAGAGCACCTTCTTCCACATGTTTGGTGTGTCTCCCAGGTGGCTTGTGGCAAACTTTAAACGACACTTTTTATGGATATCTTTAAGAAATGGCTTTCTTCTTGCCACTCTTCCATAAAGGCCAGATTTGTGCAGTATACGACTGATTGTTGTCCTATGGACAGAGTCTCCCACCTCAGCTGTAGATCTCTGCAGTTCATCCAGAGTGATCATGGGCCTCTTGGCTGCATCTCTGATCAGTCTTCTCCTTGTATGAGCTGAAAGTTTAGAGGGACGGCCAGGTCTTGGTAGATTTGCAGTGGTCTGATACTCCTTCCATTTCAATATTATCGCTTGCACAGTGCTCCTTGGGATGTTTAAAGCTTGGGAAATCTTTTTGTATCCAAATCCGGCTTTAAACTTCTCCACAACAGTATCTCGGACCTGCCTGGTGTGTTCCTTGTTCTTCATGATGCTCTCTGCGCTTTAAACAGACCTCTGAGACTATCACAGTGCAGGTGCATTTATACGGAGACTTGATTACACACAGGTGGATTCTATTTATCATCATTAGTCATTTAGGTCAACATTGGATCATTCAGAGATCCTCACTGAACTTCTGGAGAGAGTTTGCTGCACTGAAAGTAAAGGGGCTGAATAATTTTGCACGCCCAATTATTCAGTTTTTTATTTGTTAAAAAAGTTTGAAATATCCAATAAATTTCGTTCCACTTCATGATTGTGTCCCACTTGTTGTTGATTCTTCACAAAAAATTACAGTTTTATATCTTTATGTTTGAAGCCTGAAATGTGGCAAAAGGTCGCAAAGTTCAAGGGGGCCGAATACTTTCGCAAGGCACTGTATATTGCAGATGAGGTTGCAACAACATGACATAATTAAAAGAGTCAGTCAAATCTCAACCTAGCAAAAATAATGTGGAAGAGTTTTAATCAAATTTTGCTCTTTTGATTTGTTAGCTTTGCTTTTATGCTCATTTTAATACAGGTGTTAATGTTTAGGTTTAATTAGTGACAGTCTTACATTTTTCCTGCATTTAAATATTAATCTTTTAAGATTTTGAGGCCGTCTTTCTTGTGTAGAGTTACCATGGTTACAGGCTGTGGAAAATGTGTTGTATTTTTTCACTCCCAGTGCTCATGGCCCTCTGATCTGCAGCGCGGAGAGTGATTCAGAAGCTCCCATTTTAATAAAATCCTGTTCACTGGCTTATCTTGGGAGGAGAAGCTAAATCATGGGGCAACCTGCAGTGATATTACTTCAGTCAACATTCAGAGGAAGTTTGAGATGTTGACATTGATCCTGGAACTCACTCGTTCCTTTGGATAGCAACAAAAACCATAGCCAACTGAAGTGATAGTTACATTTATATCCACAACACGTCATACGGTGCACCGTCTATTTTTTAGATTGTCTCATCTGTTTTTATTGGGGTGAATTCGTATCATCAGTGGTGAAAGGTAATTAGACTTACTCAAGTACTGTACAATTTGAGGTATCTGTACTTGATTACTTTTATTTTGAACTACTTCCTACTTCAACTTCATTACATTTTAGAAGCAAATATTGTACTTAAACTCCATTATATTTGATAAATTCAGCTCAGATAAAAAAAAAAAAGTACAACCATAAAACTTTACTGATCTCTGGTGGGGAATTTACAAGCTACCCAGCAGTGAATTTAACAAGCATACAAAGTACTGTAGTTAAAATTAGCTCCACCTTTACCAGCTGCAATGATAATGTGATGAGCACAATAATTGTAATCCAGTGTTATATTAATGTGAAATGTGCCATTCTGCATAGCATATGCTGTGTTTAAGGACAGGTGGAAAACTCAGGCATTTGGCTTTACAGCCTTTGTTCCCCAAAGAGATGAAATAGCTTGATGGCCCTTGATTTGACTTTATATATGTATTTTAAGATAGAAAAAAAAACTCATTGAGATATTAAAACAGTATGATGTATGCAGAACATTTGCATGTAAAATGGTTTAGTGGGTCAAGAGACTAAATCAACTTTTGAACAACTGATACTTTAGCCGGCCGGGGAAGTTGTTTTTTTTGGGATGCAAGTTACTGAATAAAAATTAAAGACGTCATTACTTCATGTCTATTCTGACATCTTCCACATTTCTGTTAATAAAGGTCACATCTCCCATATTAGCTTCTCTCCACTGGCTCGCTGTAAAATTCAGAATAGAATTTAAAATCCTTCTCCTAACATACAAAGCCCTTAATGACAAGGCTCCATCGTATCTTAAAGACCTCGTAGAGCCTTATCATCCTAACAGAGCACTTCGCTCTCAGAGTGCAGGTTTACTTGTGGTTTCTAGAGTCCACAGAAGTAGAATGGGAGGCAGAGCCTTTAGCTGTCAAGCTTCCTTTAGTTATGCTGCTATAGGCCTAGGCTGCTGGGGGGCCCCATGATGCTCTGAGCTCCTCTCCTCTCTTTATATAGTGTTTCCAATCAGTTTTTTTTTTTAATACATGTGTAAATTAAGGTGCATAAATACAGGTAAAGCACACTTGTGTGGCTCCTGTATAAAAGGTCACAAGCTAATAAAGAGAACAGGAAGTGATGTCTACATCTGGATGCTGGCATTACCTTCCTTTCCAATGGGCGATGGATGTTAGAATGAAAGTTAGTCTCCATGACCAAACAGCCTCCCTTGATGCAAAATCAGCAGGCTATGTATAACTATTACTCAATTTGTGGGAGTTGCAAGCCTGTTTCATGTTTTTGCCTCAAACAATAAGCCAACAGGAAAATATTTTCAGTTCTGACTTTCATAAAAACATTTGCATTTACTAACAGAAGTACAGTGGCTGATTGTACTACTCGTTTCTTCAAAATGCATCATTTTGTCTCATTTAATCTTTACCCAGAAGACCTGGATTGAGTCCTGCTCCAAAATTTTTTCATACACTGGCTTTAGCTCCATTACAAATCCTCAGCTGCAGCTGAACATGTTAGAATGGAAAGAAGCTTAAAAACCGTCATTGGTGGGGGGGATTTAGCAAGTAATGAAACTTTTAGTCTGGGGACTTGCATGCACTTTTTAATGCTGTAATCATCATATTAACAAAGGTTCAATTTAAAACAGTGCTCTTTTATAAAGGTAACCTTCAGATCAGTAATGATTTAATGAGTCATTAGACGTAATTGTGTGACAAAGGATGTTCCTGTAGGTGGTGGGTGAGGGAGCTGATAATGGAGTACAGGCTTACACTATGGGTTGAAAAATGTGGTCACTTACACTTTAAATCAAGGTGTAGAGCATGAGTCACAACTACAACAGCTGCAGGCTTTAATGTGAAACTCCCCCGCTGGATTCTCTAACCACTTCATGTAATCTTTGTAACTTCTGGGCACAGAGGGAATAAACAGGTCTTTGTTGTAAAAAGGTGGCATGATCATGGTTCCATCTATATCAGTTACAAAATGGTAGAACAGTTTCATATTTCATAGCTGGCAGCCTTTCGCTGAAAACCTGGGGTCAGTTTTTGCTACTAACATGGGAGGGATGTGTGAAGGCCCCTGTAGCTGAAATACAAGCCGCTGCTGCTTGGATATCAAGATGAAATAACAGCATCATATACTGCACATGACTGTTAAGAGCCTGGTACCTGCATTCCCAGAGCACCACCTGAACCCAGGTTTCATTAACTTCAAGTGATGATGAGTCATCTTGCATCTGGAAGGAGACATTACATGTGAATTGCACAGTACTGAAAAAAAGCTGTTGAGTCTCATTGTGCAAAACGTCACAAGTAAAGCAGCAACAGTTTAAAGTGTTTTGATGGACAAGTACATTTTAATTGGACTTTCCTTCCTCTGTGTGGTTAACACTGAACTTATACAAGCTTAAACACTGAAAAACAATCATTTTATATAACATTTTAAACACATCCAGTTGACTAAAGTACTTCACATGGGCAGAATAAAATCACAATAAATAACTAAAATAAAATAAATAGGATCAAAGCAAAATTAAAACAGCACAATAACACATTATCAAGTATAATAACATCATTAGTGTCATCAAATATCAGACATCTTGTAAATTAACACATGGCATAGTAAAATGCAGACTTATTGACTTGGTAGACATTTAGACTCAGACAAAAGATAAAATGTCAGTTTTAGCCACCAGTCTATCAGAAAGGTACCTCTTTCTCTAAAACAGTGGCTCCCACCCTTTTATGTCTAACATCCCCCCACCTCCCTCACATCACCCCACCTCCCTATCATAAATACATAACTCTTCATGGATTCTCAGCTGTAGCTCAGTGTACAGATGACAGCTGGTGGGACATTTTAACAAATATCTGACTAGTTTCATAATGTAATACAAGACAGTGTGATACAGTATCAGGGACCAAACAGTAAGGCATTTAAATTTCACAGAGATTGGATTTTTACTTACCTAAAAACGAGGAAAATTACAGACATCAAACAAACTGGGCCCTAAAAGAATTCAACAAAAGATAAGCAAAATCAAAATACAACAAACTGAACTGCACACTACTACAAACAAAAACCAACTGACAGAAATGGGGAACCATATATACTGGCTGGCCAAACCAGCAACACACACAGGGAGTGAACAAAGACACTAACTGAATAATGTACCAATAAACACTGAACAGATAGTCCGCTAATAACTAAACATTTTGTTTTAGATGTAAAATGAAAAAAAAAACTTGGCAAATAAAGTTTTAGTATAAACTACAAACAAATAAACACTGTTTCTCCCAAACTCCCCCCTTTCCTGTATTGGCACTTGGTACAGTCCAGGCCTAGTGGGAAGTATTTAAACCTGCTGCTGCCTCAACCCAGTCTTTTTTCTTTTTCTTTGTCAGGACCACCCCCATCCATGGACCAGGAACAAGGTAACTCAAAAAGACAATTTGTACACATTAGCAATGTATTGACAAAATGAAATTAACTAAATGTGAATGTTTCATTGATTGTGAATGTTTCATTGATTGTGTATGTTTCATTGGTTGTGTATGTTTGTGTATGTTTCATTGGGGTTGTGTATGTTTCATTGGTTGTGTATGTTTCATTGGTTGTGTATGTTTCATTGGTTGTGTATGTCTAAAGCTGTTTTCAAACAAAATGCCTAAAATCTACCTACAACTTAAATCTACACACAAAGAAAACAAGAGAACATTAGCTAGCTAGTTCCACCTGGTGATGGCCGACACAGTATTCACACAAATGGTTCATTACTCAAGGCCTCAATGACACAGTGCTCCAGTAGGACATCTAGTGGTCAAGAAAATGAAATGCAGTTAAGACATGTCTGGTTCATGGATTGTTTGGGATTTGATTCGCTATGCACATTCCTGTTTGACTACATTACATGGTTGTATGGTTTCAAGCTGACAAAATAAAATATAAAATAAACTTGGACTCATGTTGAAGACCATGTGGCAGGTCTGAGTGTAACCCTATATGCTCCTCACTTATATTTTGTGTTATGAAACTGTTAAATGGTGCTGCTACATTCATGAAATGTGTTCTATAGATTCAGTCATTTGCACACGGGATTAGTGCAAATACAGATTATAGTATGGACCTTGGCAAGGTGTGTTTTGGGGTTCATTGGTAAAGAGGTTCATGGGTAAAGAGGATGTGCTTGTATAACTGTTTGAGTTTTTATTGAGAAATAACAGTAAATCCACAGTGTTTAGGCACAAGCAGTTTCTCCTTTTACAGACTATTTCCTCAGCATTGGAAAAAACCCGTTCACGTGGCACAAATGAGGCTGGGGTATATAGGAAATGCTTAGCTAATTTATAGAGGTTGGGTAAACAGTTTTATGGGTGGCCCAGTATGTGAGGGGGTCATCAGTTCTTTCCAGGGGAGGATCAGCCAGGTATCAGTTCACTTCCACAATTGCATTAGCTGGGGCCCTTTGCATGTGCCTGGCTCTGTGTGCATCTTGATCCAAACGTCTCCACAGGTCAGCACCTGAAAAATATTGAAGATCATCATCACCAGAAATGTCACTAGTCATGCCTTATTCAGAATCTAATAAAAATGAAATACCTGTGGAGGCTGGTGCTGGAGGATGAGGCTGAGATATGTATATCTAGCTAGATAATTTATCTATTCTTTTTGTGTGTGTACATATTCATGTATTATATCTAAGTACTGTATGTCTTATCTATATATAATTGCCTTGCGGCAATTCTAGCTAGCCATAACATTCATTTCCACTTTTACGCTGATGATGTGTCCAGCTTGACATGCCACTGGCTCCAATGCTCTTACCCCGTTGCACAATTGCATTCGGGATATTAGGCAATGGCTTGCGTTAAATTTTCTGCATCTGAACGAGGGTAAGACTGAATACATTCTTTTTAGTTTTGACCCGCCGCCAGATGTAGTCAACCTCTGCACCTCAGTCTTCCCTCTATCTGACAAGGTGAAAAACCTCTGGTTTTACTTTTGAGAAACAGATTAGGGCAGTGGTTAAATCTTGTTTTTTCAGCTAAGACTCTTAACGAAGGTTAAACCTTTTTTGTCACATGGAGATCTGGAGAAGGCTATTTACGTGTTTATTACTTCAGTTAGATTATTGCAATGCCTTGTATGTTGGAGTACCCTAGACTTTGCTTCAAAAATTACAATTGGTCCAGAATGCAGCAGCTCGGCTGCTGTCCAATGCTCCCAGGTTTGACCATATCTCCTCGATTCTTCGTGCTCTTCATTGGCTTCCGATCCAATTTAGAATTAAATTTAAGATCCTATTGTTTGTTTTTAATGTCTCGCCCCATCCTACCGATCTGACCTGCTGTCGGTCTATGTGCCAGGTAGAGCTCTTCGCGCTGCTGATAATTTGTCGCTGGCGGTGCCACGATCCCGCTATGAAAAATGGGGCGACCCATGTTTTTCTATGTACGGCCCCAAACTGTGGAATGTTCTTCCGGTAGAATTAAGGGCAGAAAGTGAGCTAGTGACCTTTAAGTCGGCCTTAAAAACTTACTTTTTTAAGCAGGCTTTTGAGACCTAACCTGTTTTACGGTTTAAATTTTAGTCATGGTTAGCATTTGTGTTCACACCTACCTGTTTTTTGCTAATGTTATTGTTTTTGTGTGTTTTTACTGTACAGGACTCTGGTGCTCCTGGGGCCCATTTCAAGAAGGCGGTTTTGTCGAAACTCAGTTTGTTAACCCCAAAATGAGGGAAACTCGGAGTTTTCGGTTCCAGAAATGGAGGTAACTTAAACCCGTGAAAGCGGGGTAAGTTAAACCCGTTTCACAAAGAGAGGTAATCTAAACTCAGTCAGTTACTATGGCAACTTACTCTGTGAACCTAACCTGGTTGGGAGCAGGTTTTGTTCGGAAAACTGTTTCCTCCGGGTCTCCGCCCCTTTTTAAAGTGAAAGGTGTTTAATACCTCATTTAATCTTTCAGTACATTCATAGATTGCACACGTTTCTGTCACGCAGAGACCAAAATGGCGTGTCCATTCATAGAGGATCCTGTAGATGAGGACGCTGTATTAATTCGCAGGGAATTGCATTTACGTCGGGAGAGGATATTGAGGCCACGAGTTGATTTTTTGTCATATCCCCATGTATTTTTATTTGAGCGGTACCGTTTGTCTAGAGAGTCCATAACATATATCAATAATCTTATCCACCCATACATCAGACACATCACCCATCGTGGCCGTGCTCTTACATCCGAGCAGATGCTTTGTGTTGCATTACGATTTGTTGCAAACGGCAGTTTTCTTTATAACATCGGGGATGCAGAGCACATTAGTAAGGCCACAGTATGTAGAATAGTTCGGAAAGTGTGCCGCGCCCTCAAGCGCTTTCTGTGAATTTTTGTTGTGTTTCCTGGGCACAAACCCCTCAGAGCCATTAAAGAGGAGTTTCACAGGATTGCAGGTTAGTGGTATTGAATTCGTTTCAGTAAGGCTAATCTGAAAAATGATGATCAGTTAATAACATCTTGCTGTGACCTCTGGAAATAAACTAATAATTAGAATCCCCTTCAGGATTTCCTAATGCGGTTGGATGCATTGATGGCACACATATTCCCATCAATGCACCTACATGAAAATTAAAATTCAATTCTTATATTATTACATCAGTGTTGGGTCAATTTTAAAAAAGTATTTTGATTAATGTAATAATTACTCTCCATAAAACGTATTGGATTATTTATTAATCATTACTTTACAAATCCCATATCAACCACAATAGGAATTTTAAGAAAGGGTAGACATAAAACTGCACTTTTAATTCGTACAAAAATCGGTATTTTATGCAATTACTGAAGTTACTCATTCAATTATTGAAGAATTAAGAACCATTCCTTACTTTACAAGTGACAAATAATAACATTACTAACATTATTTAGTAATTACTTACACCGAACACTGTATGATTAAAATGTAAACGTACGCATTGACTCGGGCAGCTATTTTCCCCCAAGCTAACTCTTTCTCTTTCGCCGCTGCAGCCGTGTTGTTTTTAAACAGACCTATTTTGGCTTGGTCCTGTTGCCATGGTGACTCGTAATTTCTTCACTCCATTGTTCAGGGCTTTTTATAGTCGCGTGGCATGCGCCTAACTCTGAGTCAAACAACTCAGTTGATTAAACCAACTCTTTTCAGCTGTTCTGAAACCGAAAACTCCGAGTTTTCAACTCTGGGTAAGTCAACTCAGAGTTCAGGTTTGAACTCTGAGTTTGTTAAACTGCCTTCTTGAAATAGGCCCCTGGAGCTGGAGAGCACTACAGAAATAGTTTATTTATTATATGTAATATCTTCTCTATATCTAATGTTATTTAGGACTATAACTAATTTATGTTTCTTTATGTAACTCACCATCTATCTATTGATCTATTTCTCTGTCTACACTGATTCTCCACTAAATACACAATCTGCTACAACACGAACTCTCAAAGCAACTAATGGCAAAAACAGCAACAAACCAACCTGCTCTGCAAAGACTGATTCAAATGAACACCACTAAACAGAGATATCCTGTCTCTGAACACACTCGATCCCACAAAGTGATTCACAGGACAAACCAAACCAATCAGCTGATTCGCATGACGTCCGACGCATCCAACTGCTTTGGACGTCACTCAAGTGATTCAAACGTCACTAGTCACATGACCAAAACACTCCTCAGCACAATGATTCAATACAATTACTTCATGAGCTACAGCGCATGTGTCGGTGCCTCGGGTGTCAGATGACCATCACTAGTTGTCAGGTCCACTCGGTGCAACCTGCCTCTCTTCTGCCTTTCTCTCTCCCCTGCTCACTCTTCTTGCAGGATCAGCACCTCAGCTGTGTCGCATTTTGTACTTAGTGACTTGTGGGTTATCGCGCACAGCTGGGGCTCATTACTGTAAATCACCCTCCTACCTTATTTATACCTCTGGCCGACGCCGGAGCATTAACGTGCATACCCCGTAACAGCCCTATAGTCGTATGTATTTGTACGTCATTTTGTTTTCCACGCTGACTGTTCCTGTGCTGTGGAAAACCATTTTGTTCACCTGTCTTCATGGTTAGCCTGTCTGTTCACCTGCCTGTCCTCAACCTCCTCCTCTCCTGGTTCCTGCCGTTACCCTGTCTACTCCCTTGGTCGTCCTGTTCTCCTCAGCCCTGTTTGTCTTCATTGACTCTATTCCTTTTGTATCCCCACCAATAAACCACCATTTTTACTAGCACCTGGGTCAGCAGTCTTCAGTCCAACCTCAGTTCTCCCTCACCCTCCTGGTGTGGGGGGGACTAACCATAACACTAGTTCCACTACTGCTGGTGGTGGTGGTTTAGGCCATGGTGAAGGCCGGGGCTGAGGCCTTTAGAGCTGGAATTAAATGAGGGGCTTTCTAATACATCAGTCTGAAAATCATTGACCACTGTTACCATAGTAGCAATAAGTCTTCATTTTTCTGCACAATGGTGGGATCAGCTGGCCATGACTGGTCAGAATGTGATATGTTTTCATAACAATATGGTATTGAGTGTTTGTTTCTTTTTATATAAAACAGTGCATATGCTTCATTAGTTGAACTGTAACACTGTCTGTTATCTGTCTAGGTTGTTAAACCTATTTAAGATGAGTTTGATTAAAAATTACTGGGTTTACTTTGTCAACAATGTAAGAAATGTAATAACCTGTATCATACTTTAAGCATCAGAGCTCATGTAAATGGTCGCAGTAGAAACAGTGACACATTGAGCTAATTGTAAACTATATAACACAGAACATAACTTTTTTTATCTGATAATCTGTGGTGAATGTGATGGGTCAGGCTATTCATAAATATGGATGTGTGGTTCCTGTTGTGGTTTTTGCTGTTTTCACCATATAGTCCAGACATGTTCGGTTCACTGTACCTCCTTGCCAACAGATTTGGTCGGCCCTGCTGTGAGACGTCTCCATGGATTGGACCACTGGTTCCATGTCTCCTCCAGTAAAGTGTCTTAGGTGATGGGCCACCATGTGTGATCAGTGCACCTTGATGTTGATTCTTATCACTGAGTTAATCCAAAGTTCAATGCAATTCAGTGTTCAATTGGATTGAGGTCTGGTTATTGCAAAGGCCAAAGCATATGACTCGCACCATTTTCATGCTCAAAGCATTCAGAGGCCCCTCGTGCCCCATGGATCGATATCTATAGCATCTGTTATTGTATCTGGACCAAGTTCAAGGAAGGACAGATTCATTTTGTTGGGAAAAAGGTCTCTCTCAGTATGAATAGCCTGTGCACATTAAAGGAAACGCCCACTGGAACTTGTTTAAATTAGATTTATTTTCTAGACTAATGTCAAACAAAGGGCCCTAAGGGGATTTCAGTGCAATTAATTCATACGGAAATAAGAGTACAAACGCTTTGTAATTAAGGTCCTTGTTTTGTTTTAACTTAGGCGTATCTGATTGTCGTTACAGGGTTTAATTTAAAGGAGGAGACTGAAAAGCAGCCATGAAATTAGTAAATTTAACACTACATCAGTTTGACACAACCATCTCACTTTAAAGATGCTGGTAAATATATTCACTTGTAATCTGTAGAATCACAGACAAAAACAAATGGACATACACAGAGCAGGTGTTTGTAGGCATCTATTATTTAAAGAAAATTCCTTTTTTGTGTTGTTTCTATCCTGAGACTGAAAGACCTTGTCAACACTCTGCCTTGAGATCAAACATCAAGCTACATTTCAAAGAAATGAAATTTATTTAGAATGATGGATTTTCCTTGCACTCTGCTCAAAAAATTAATAATTTACTACAAGTGCTTTACACAAGGACGATGAAGAAAAATTTTCATTTGACTCTAGGGCTATTAAGTGGCCAACAAATCTTTAAAGGCTTCCAACATGACATACACCACTAACACAGACACAAGAAATGAATCAGCTAATGTGGACAATAGAATCCTACAGTTTTGGTTAATTATATGGAGGCACAAAGTTTGGATTGTAGAAATTAGTGGTGAATGGTTGTACAAACAGGAGTTTCTCCCAGGTTAGCATGGATTTAATTCCAGTGTTAAATGAGTGCTTGTGCACTGTCTTGCTCCTATAGGTCATATGAGAAGAAAGGGACAATCAGCCCTATGGGGATGTCCAAGCTGGAGGACTTGTTGCATGGTTTAGGTTTAGCCACAAAAACAGTTTGGTCATATTTAGCAGTTGTAAATCGGGTTATAACTAAATGTTGCAGGGCCGTCGTCATCAGTTACAATAATAAACAGAAGTTAAGGTTGAGGAACTGTCCTAAACCTAGTTTCTCTACAGTATACAGTACAGGACAGTTGCCTTCTGTACTTGTGGCATATGGTTGTTAAAAGTTTCAATAACTACAGCACCTTACTCCAGGTCATAACCTCTCGCAACAAATTGCATATGGAGGACAGTGACTTGGCACTAATCTTCCACAACCGAGAAAGACATCATTTTGTGTTAAATTACAAAATGAAGGCTGGGTGCTGCATGTTCAAACACGTGCTTATCAGTTACTGTGGTTTAGCTTGAGGAGGCCAGACTATTTTCCACCCCAGAGGTTATAGGAATAATTCTGATTAACAAACAAATAATTTGCATTTTGACTGAGTATGGCAAGTTGCTGCAACAACCAAGTACAAATGCTTTAAGGTCTTAAGAGTCACAGAAGCCTGTATTTATAAAACAGTTGGATAATAGTAACATCTCCATTACTGTTTAAATTGTATGAACTGGCTTTTTTATTTTAGAATTTAGAATTCCAATATCTTTATTTTGTGCCTGCAGATGATTTGGTATGATTTAATTCTATTCTCTCCCTGAAGTGCTGTCTATAACAGCTGCTGTATATATATTATACTGCCAATATCCTGGCAATTTGATAATCACAGCTCTTAAATATACACTGAATGTTGTCATGTGTGTGTGTCTACACATGTTAATGCGTATAAGGGGCTACACAGTATTCTGTACCCTTAAGAGTCACAGAAGCCTGTATTTATAAAACAGTTGGATAATAGTAACATCTCCATTACTGTTTAAATTGTATGAACTGGCTTTTTTATTTTAGAATTTAGAATTCCAATATCTTTATTTTGTGCCTGCAGATGATTTGGTATGATTTAATTCTATTCTCTCCCTGAAGTGCTGTCTATAACAGCTGCTGTATATATATTATACTGCCAATATCCTGTTAATTTGATAATCACAGCTCTTAAATACACTGAATGCTTTCATGTGTGTGTCTACACATGTTAATGCATGTAAGGGGCTACACAGTATTCTGTACTAGAACATTTCTCCCCCCCCCCGTTTCCTGTACCCTGCATTTTTTTTTTCAGCAAATGGTTCTGAAAAAATGTTCTCCCATTTCAGTTGAGGACTTATAGCAGTCTGATAGTATGAAACCTTCTTTTTGTCCACAGTTGTCCTTGTTTAAAATGTCAGATTCCATTAGTCCCACAGTAGTTATAGTAATGAACAGCTTGCTAACATATGGTCATGTACCTGGTCACCACTGAGACTTTCCTAACCCTTCTGAAAAAGATTAACCTGGATTCTTACAGGCCAATCTCTGAGCTGCCTGAAGGTTGCTTCAAACCAGCTCACAGATGCTCTGTGTGCACAACATACGTGATGAATTCATATTTCACAAACTGCACTCTGTGGAAACGCCACGCCACAGAATCTCAAATGACTTACTAATGCATGGCGGTACAGGGAAATGTTCTGTTCTTGTTGGCCCTCAGCTTCTTTAAATAATGAACCTAAGCTCCCACCTTCAGTTTTGATTTTCAGCTTCAGGGATATTTTAGCATTAATTTGAGCAGTCCCCTCTGACCTGCATTTCAACCATTTATCTACACAGACTTAACTGAAAGAAAATCATTTCCTCTTTTGTCTCTGTAGCCATTCTGTAGTAGATTTACTTCGATGTTTAGGGTCATTGTTCTGCTGCATCACCTAGCTTGTTCTGAGCTTCAGCTTGCTGACAGCCACCCCGACATTATCTTGTAGGATACTTTGATAAACTTGGGAATTCATTTTTCCCTCCACAATGGCAAGCACTTCAGGTCCAGAGGCAGCAAAGCAGCTCCCCCCGCATCAGGATTCTCCCTCCACCGTACTTCACTGTTGGGAGGATGTTTTCATGTACGCAATTCTCTTTTTACACCATATGTAGCTCTGTGTGTTCTTCCCAACCAATTCTGCCTTCATTTCATCTGTCCACAGGACATTTTTCCAGTAGTGTTGTGGAGTGTCAAGGTGGTCTTTGGCAAATTTTAGGCATGCTCTGTGGCTTTTGGAGAGCAGTGGCTGCCTCCATGGTGTTTTACCATGGTTACCGTGCCTGCTCAATATTTTGTGCATGGCTGACTCATGAACAGGGATGTTATAAATTATAAATGTCCCTTTCTTGGTTTTATATTCAACACTTAATCCACAAAGCACAACATTCAAATTTGAGTCCATGTCTGAGAGAAAATTGATGTTGACTCTGCTCTGCCCTATGCAAGTATTGTTGGAAAGCATAAATGTATTTGGACATTCTGCCTTTTTACACGTCGCTAAACTTTAGGACTTAAATCTAAAATTGTGCCTCTTCATCCAGTTTCTAAAAAATAACACTTTAGTCATGCAGTATTTGACTTTTGACTTTGCCCTCTAGGCATTTGGGATGTGACCAAGCCCTTTGTTTTTGTTTGCATACAGATTTAGACTTCTAAGAAAAGCACATTCAAAGTGAAAGACATTTTCACTTCAGATAGGTTTGTTCTGGAGCGATGAATGAATGGAGAAGCACACTAGGCCCGTAAAGAACGAAAATCAAAGAGCCATTGAAAATGTGAATTTGATTGAACTGTGGCATTTGTCTAAGCTTTTTCTTTGTTCCTGCTAATTAGCTGCCTGAGCTCCCCTACATTATCACACTTATTCACATTTCTCAGCAACCTGCGTAGATGATGCAACGTACCATTTAAAATTTTAAATGCTTTTTCCATCTGTAGCCCATTTGCAAAGGAATTCAGATCATCTTTTTAACAGTGATATCCTCAAGACTACACACAAAATATTCACTATGTGCGTATTTATCGCTCCTGCAGACAAAAAACACACACACAAACACAGGTGGGCTCAATGTCTGAGAGGTAAAATGCAACTCCTGGGGCCACTGGCTGGCATCCAATGTTATTTGCAGCAGGCCTGCAGTTTGCTGGCTCATGCCCACTTCAAACTCTTCCACTGGCACTGTGGATTAACCCAAGTCCTACTGCTCTGCCAATGCTTCCATCCAGCCAAGCTGCTCCATGGCAAGCAAGCAAACATACCCTTGATCTTGTTCTGACATGTGGCATTGAAAGTGAAAACTTTATCATTTTACCCCAAAACCTTCTTCTCTCTGGCCATTTTCTAATAACATTTGAATTTACATTAATGGATTATGCAGCACATGGGGGGGGATTCCATTACAGCGGATGTCAATCTGACAATGCTGTTACCACATTTAAGGAAATAATTCCATCATGATTTACTTCAGTGCCAACACAATGGAGGGCGGCCACCTTGACTTTACTCCCACACAAGTCAATTATACTGCTGATGGTGCAGCAGCCTCCCTGTGTATGACACTTGATACTGTTGCCCCTCTGAAAAGCAGGCAGTGAAACAGAGGAGACTAGCCCCGTGGTACAAGCAGTGCAAAAACTGAAAAAGAGGTGATGTTCCACTAAGTCAGAGGAGCTTTTCCTAGCCTGGAAAGGGAGTTCAATAACTTAAAGCCCTGCATAGTGCCAGAACCACATATTATTCATCAGTGATTGAGGAAAATAAGAACAATGATAAATGTATCATTTTGGTCACAATAAGAGTCATTTTGATGGAAACAGATGATTCGCTGTGGCAACCCCTAACGGGAACAGACGAAAGAAGAAAAGTTTAGAACTTCCATCTATCACAGCAGTGAATCAGCACATTAACTT